ATGGCATTACTCCTACTCCTGCTCATTCTCATTGATATATGGCCAATTTTTTAAATAATAATAAAAAACGCCTGAGCCGAAACATGCTTACGTCGTATGTCTGACTCCGCCAGCTTCTGCTAGCGAAAACGCAGCCATTTTACTGTGGACGGCGTCCGCCGCCAGCTTCCGCCAAGGGCGAGCCGTGCCGAAGGCGATGCCCACTCTTGAAAGCGCCATGTCTGTATGTATGTGTGTGGTTTTCGCTCTCTCTATATCTCACTCTCTCTCCCTCTCTTTTTTTTTTTCTCTCTCTCTCTCTCTCTCTCTCTCTCTTCTAGGGGTCCATTGACTCCGAGCCCACAAGGGACGGCAGCCCACGGCCCTTTCCCGCCCAAGACCTTCCCTTTCGAAGAGCAAAAACCTATCGCCCGAAGTCCCACCTCATATCTCCCTCTCTCGCTCTCTGTCTCTCTCTCTCTCTCTTTCTCTCATTCTGTCTCACCCCCATACCTCCCCACTGCCCTGTTTGTGGCCTCCTCTCTCCCATACCAACTCTCCTGCCGACCGCGGGCATGGCGGCCCCGCCAGCCCTGCCAGCCTGCGGGGGCCACCCGCAGCGACCGCTCAACACCTCCCCCTCCTGCATTTGGACGCCCGGGTACGGAAAAAATGGGTACAGTGCCCAACAACAATCCTCCTCCTCCTCCTCCTCCTCCTCCTCCTCCTCCTCCTCCTCTCCTCCTCCTCCTCCTCCCTCCTCCTCCTCCTCCTCCTCCTCCCCCCTCCCCCTCCTCCTCCTCCTCCTCCTCCTCCTCCTCCTCCTCCTCCTCCTCCTCCTGCTCCTCCTCCGTATGAGGTGTGGCGACCCCCGAAATGGGTGCGGATGGGTACGATGCCCAACAGCAAATGTTGTCCCAAACCAGCAGGGGCCGCTGTTGGGCAGGCGGCCTTCTGTCTCGAATGGATACAGGCCGCGGCGGCGTGGACCGCGAATCCTGTTCAAAGTGAACAGGACCTGCTGTTGGGCATTGTACCCAGTCTTTCCGTACCCATTTCGGGCGTCCAGACTGCAGACCCCCGCTCGTGCTATGTATCTCTCTGGTTGGCCCCCGGTCCCACGGCTCCCTCCCGCCAGAACGCTGCCGCTCCCCTCCGCAGCAGTCTGAAAGCGATTCGATGCGGAGGAGGGGGGCACCATGCGACCTGCCCAAGCACAGAGCACGGCCCACGTGCTTCCTCTCAGAGTGGGCCTTCTGTCGCCGACGCTGCAGACCGGGCGGCGGGAGCGCACGCGGCGCACCTCGCGCGCGCGCGAGCAGTCCGGAACCCCGCGCTCAGACGCGGCGCCGCGCAGCTTCGGCGTGGAAGCTGGCGCCGCGATCTGGGCGAGCCGCACTGCCGGCTCGCCGACTGGGGCCGCGCGTGGGGAGGAGGAGGAGGAGGAGGAGGAGGAGGAGGAGGAGGAGGAGGAGGAGGAGGAGGAGGAGGAGGAGGAGGGAGGAGGAGGAGGAGGAGGAGGAGGAGGAGGAGGAGGAGGAGGAGGAGGGAGGAGGAGGAGGAGGAGGAGGAGGAGGAGGAGGGAGGAGGAGGAGGAGGAGGAGGAGGAGGAGAGGAGGAGGAGGAGGAGGAGGAGGAGGAGAGGAGGAGGAGGAGGAGGAGGGAGGGAGGAGGAGGAGGAGGAGGAGGAGGAGAGGAGGAGGGAGGAGGAGGAGGAGGAGGCGAGGGGCGGCGAGCTCTCGGCCCGCCACCGCACAGAGCTCGCAACCGGAGCGGCGCTCCCGCCAGGGAGCGCGGCGCGTGCCCCGCTCTGGGCCCTCCGGCGTCGTGCGCCGCGCCCCGCGGTGCGCGACGCGCGAGCACCTTGCGCCCTCGCGCCCTCGCGCCCTCGCGCTCGACGCGGCGCCCCCCTCGGTGAAGGGCTGTCCCCCCCAGCCCTCGCGACGCACCCCAGCCCTCGCGCCCTCGCGCCCTCGCGCTCGACGCGGCGCCCCCCTTGGAGGAGGGCTGTCCCCCCCCCCCGCCCGGGCCGCGACGTGCAGGGCGCGGCCCTCCCCGCGGCCCCGGGGGGGGCCTTCGTGGTCCGGACGTCTCGGGCCGGGCCGGCGTGGCGCGGCTGGCTCCCCCGGCGCCTCCTGGCACCAGGGGCGCCCATGCATCGGACGACCTGCCAGACCACCCCAGCCCAACCCGAAGACCCGAATATTTGAACCGACTTTCGGGTTGGGGAGGGGGTACGGGCTCCACGTGTTTCTTCCATGCTCCCCGACCCCCCCCCCACTGGACATGGAGGGCCAAACGGGGCCTTCGGGTTGGGCTGGGGTGGTCTGGTGTAGGTGGTGAGCATCGGACCCAGACCCCCGACGTAATGATTTTTTCATTACGTCGACCCCAAGGGTCCCGACCCTTTCCCCAGGACCGGCTTCGCATTCTGAGTCGTTTTTCCCTACCTAGGCTCTGCCTAGAGGGTTCTTACCCTCTTAGCTTAAGGGGGCCGGGCAGTGTAAAGCGCCCCGGGCGGTTCCCCCAGTCCCCGCCCCGCGGTTCCCCCGTCTGCGCCCCCTGGGTTCCCCCAGCTTAGCTTAGCTAAGCTAAGCTTAGCTAAGCTTAGCTAAGCTAAGCTTAGCTTAGTTTAGCTTAGCTTAGCTTATATCATCTTAGCTCAGGTTAGCTTAACTTAGCTTTGCCTGGCCTAGCTTAGCTTAGCTTAGCTTAGCTTATATCATCTTAGCTTTGCTTAGCTTAGCTTGGCTTGGGTTGGCTTGGCTTGGCTTGGCTTAGCTTAGCTTAACCTAGCCTAGCCTAGCCTAGCTTAGCTTAGCTTAGCATAGCTTAACTTACCTTAGCTTAGCGCAGCGCAGCATAGCGCAGCGCAGCATTAGCACAGCATAGCATAGCATAGCATAGCATAGCCAAGCATATCATAGCATGGCATAGCACAGCATAGCATAACTCAGCATAGCATAGCATACCATAACCTAACATAACACATCATACCATAGCTCATCATAGCATAGCATATCATAGCATAGCATAGCATAGCGCAGCGTCTCATATCATAGCATAGCATATCATTGCTTACCCTAGCACAGCGCATCATAGCATAGCACAGCATAGCATAGCAGATTGATGTAGATGTAGATGCAGGTGTAGATGTAACTGTAGCTGTCGGTGTAGATGTAGATGTTGCTTTCCTAAATGCTCCAACTCCTAGGTAGGGTCGCACTGGGATAATTTGACGTTCCCGAGGCCCGGTGAGGGCCCCCCGAGGCCGAAAATTAGGAAAAACCTCCCGTCGTGATTTTTTCATTACTCGAGGGGGTCTGGGGAGGAGTGTGCCCGGCGGCGGGGAGCGAAACCAGCTGCACTCCGCGTCTTGCGGCGCGCCCCCCGACCGCGGCGCGTCGCCGCGGTGCCGCGCGGGCGGCGGGCGCGCCGCGCCTCACCGCGAGGCGGGAGGGCGCGGGGAGAGGCGCGGGACGCTGCCGCGCGGGGGCGGGGACGTGGGCTTGCGTGTCGCGCCGCAGCGAGGAGGAGGAGGAGGAGGAGGAGGAGGAGGAGGAGGAGGAGGAGAAGGAGGAGGAGTGGGCCAGAACCAGCGGAGCGACACGCGGAGCCAAAGGCCTGGCCGTACCCCCCACAGCATTGCCCCTTGGCTTCGGGGCATCCCTCGGGTCTCTCCGGCGGCCGTTTGGGACCGTCTGGGCACCCCGGGAGCGCCCTCCGCGAGGCGCAGCCGCTGGAGGGCACCCCGAGGCTGCGAGGCCGCCGAGAACCGACGAAGGCGTCGGAAATTCTCGAACGTCGGACATCCCCACCCCAGGCCGAGAACGGCGACGCATTCCCTGCTGGTCCGACCCGACGCACTCGAGATGGCCCAACTGCTGCCACCGCCCACGCGCCGCGCAGCGCTCTCCCTGCAGCCTGCACTCCCACGCACGGGGCGCGGCGCCACGCCATCGCTTCTCGGTGGCCGCTCCTGCTGCTGGAAGCTGGGCGTCGGGCGAGGAAGCGTAAGTTCGGCGCCGTCTGGAACTCCGGATTCTCCCGAAAATCGGCGAAGGGAGTGCATTTCAAGAGGTGCGGTCTGCAGTCCGCATCCTGGGGGTGCGGGCGAAGACCTGCTTCGATAGAGTCCTCGGCCGCGGCCCAGCGACGCCCGACGAGGGCAACAAGCACCCAAAGACGCAGATCGCAGACCACATCCTGGCGCAACAGCACCTTCTGGAGTCACCGGCAGAAGTCCGTCTCCGATACGGTGAGGGCATCGGGTGGAAAACCATTGGATGAGGAATCCAGGGTCTGAAATAGAAGAAAGAAAAAATACCACGACATAAACATAAACTTTTGGCGCTCCGCGCGGAATTCTTGGATCTGAGCTGGACCCCCCTCCCTGGCGCGCGGAGCGCGCCAGGGGCGGCGCCAGAGGCGCTGCCAGGGGGTTCCCAGCGCAGATCCAAGATGTCCGCGCGGAGCGCCAAAAGTTTATGTTCATGGTTTTGTCTTTTTCTTCTTCGATGGAAGCCGGTGGGGCACCAACTGAGGCTTAGCTATGGATACCGCCCTCATCAGATAAGGAAGCGTCCAAGGTCTGAGGCCTCCTGGGCACATTCCTTTAACGAGCGCCCCCAGCGTGTGGCGCGGCGCGCGCTTCTCCCCCGCCCGGACGTCTGGAACTGGGTCCCGCGCCAACGAGCGGAATGCAGCAGTTGTGGCGTCGGGGCTCGCACGATCCTTCGAGGTTGCGCTCCCGCTCAAGCGCGGCTCGTGGAGTTTCACTCCAACGCGTCGCGAGCGCGTTCCTGGAGGAACAAAGAGCGGCGCGAACATGATTTCTCGGAGTTCCGCGCGATGTCCTGGATCACGGCACTGGACCACCCCTTCCTGGAGCGCGGAACGCGCCAGGGAGGTCACCAGAGGCGCCGCCACGGGGGGAGGGCCTTCAGTTGGGCTGCTGAAAGAAGGAACGCTAAAGAAGGAACGAAGCCCCTCATTGGCCCTGTAAGCGCCTCCGTGCCCCG